CCTCGGCCCCCGCCCCCCGACGCGGCCACCGTCCCCTCCACACCAAGCGGGGACGCGGACGCCGCTCCTCGCCGCTCGCACGGCCCCACCGCCCCCTTCACCTCAGGCGAGGGGCGTCGTGGCCCTCCAGCGTGGGGAGGGGGGCAGGGATATTGCCCCGCCAGCGCCTCAGGAACGAGGGCCGGCCCTCCTCCCAGCGGGCTCAGGGCCTCCCCATCCCTTAACGGGGCACCCCTAGAGAAGCAACAGGCTCCCCCAGACCCCCGCCCACCGGCAAACGCCGACCCCTCAACCCTCTCGCTCTTCACCTCCGGAAGCTGGGCCAAAGCCTGGGCGAGCGACTGCGCCTCACTCCGCCCCCTGCGCCATTTTGTCGCCCCCTCCTCGACCTCCCCCAACCCGGAACAGCCGGGCCAACGCCAAGGGGCGGGAAAATTAGACATGATTGGCAAGAAACCGCCACACCTCTGAGAGGGTGGAGCTTCAGGCAGGCATACAGCCCCGCCCTCCGCACCGCCCCCTTTGCCTAATAGCTCCACCCATTTTCCCCCATCGACCCGCTCGACTGTCCTCTATTCTTGCCTCCCGGCTAGATAGCGAGAGCTAGGCCGAGCTAGCCGAACGACGAACCCAGCTGATGCAACCTGGCGGGACTCGCGAGACAGCTCCCGGCACGCGGCGGCGGCGGCGGCGACCCAAGAAGGGGCGCGGGTGCCGGCTCAGCTCGGAAGTCACGGGTGGCGAAGCAATGGGAGAATCTCCCAGTCCTGAAGAGAAGCTGCACCTTATCACCCGGAACCTGCAGGTAGGCCTCAGGGGTGGGATGCGCCGTTGGGGATTGGGTTGAGCCCCATTATTCGGTCCTAAGTACGCGGGATCGGGACTCGACTCCAGGGCAGCCCCGAGAACCTCCAGACCTTACTCCTGATGGATCAGCAGGCCAATCAAGCAACCATACCCCGGGTGCCCCAGAAATCACCGCGAGCTCTGTTCACCTGTGCACTTACCTTGGAACAGGCTTTGGATCGCGGATTTCCACCTCACTCGCCCTATTATGTGCCAAGCGCGGTGCAAGACGCTGGGAATGAGTCTGGGCCCTGCCCTCCCAGAGCTCGTTTGAAGGGGATCTGACATATAAAATGACCCATAACCCAAACCATTACTGTTGAAGCTAGTGCTGCAAGTTCTTATACTTGCAACATTGAAAGGAAATAAGAGGAAAGAAAACTTCCTATAAGGAAATGACCTCTAAATTGCGCCCGAATGATGCGAATCCAACCTTCTCGGCATCCTGTCGTTGCCTATTGTTGTGAGCCAGAGAAGGAATGGAGGAAGGGCATTAACAGACAGAGAGTAGAATACTGTCTGGAGCCGGCGGGGAGGGAGGGTGAGAGAGGAAGAATATTGTGGTTCAGAAAGAAGGCTAATTTAGATGTGTGATGTAGCTCCCGTTCCGTAGAGAGCACAAATGAGGCCCTGAGTTCAATCTCCAGAGCCCCAATCCCCCACCCCTACCAAGAATGAGCAGATCTTTTGATATATCGCCTTCAAACCTGAGAGAGGCCTTTAACATTTTAAAGTACTTCATGCCACTAGAGCTCTCCTCCCCGGCTCTACCTTTTTTTTTCTTTTTTCTCTTCCTTCATTAAACTTATCACCATCACTTTACTTAATTTTTTTTTGCAGTTTTGGGGATTGAATTCAGGACTTCACATTTGCTAGGCAGGCTTGCTACTCTGCCACTGGAGCTGTGCCTCCAGCTCCTTTTGGTCTTGGTTATTTGTTGCCAGGCCAGCTTGGGCTGTAATCTTCCTACTTAAAGCATCCTCATTAATTGCCCCCATCTATTGGTTGGCATGGAATCTCAAGAACAACTTTTTCCATGTGGTTGGCCTCAAACCTTGATCCTACTTCCCAAGTAGCTAGTATTACAGGTTTGAGTCATCGCACCCAGCAAAACCTGCCCTTTAAAGTGCACAATTCAGTGGTTTTTTTCATATATCCACAAGATTGGGCACCCATAGTCCCTATCTAATTCCAGAACATCTTCATTCCTTCTAGAAAAACTTGTCCCATTAACAATCACAACCCATTGTCTCTCCCACCAACTCCTAAAGAAATACTAATCTTATTTTTTGTCCCTTTGTAGTTGTCTATTCAAACATTTTATGCAGCTTAAATCACATAATATGTGGCTGTTTGCATCTGACTGCTTAGTATAATATTTTCAAGGTTCGTTGATGATATAGCTATCAGAATTTCCTTTTTTTTTATTATTTTTATCCTCTCCCTCCCCTCTCCCTTATTCTGCTTTCTTTTTCCTGCTAGTCTCTCCACTCTCCTGTCTGTCCTCTTCTAGTTCCCATCCCCTTCCCACTATTCCCTTGCAGCTCCTTACTCTCCTCCCCTCTATTCTTTTTCTCTTTCCTTAGATCTTCTCATTCCTCTTCCTTCTCCACTGGCCTATTCTGACCTCCTGTCTTCTCTTCCAGGAAACCACCTTCCTTATGGGAAAGGGATTAGGCCCTGGTATGTAGAAGAGGATTGGGAGAGAAGTAAATAAACCCAGATACCCCAAAAAGCATCTTGAAGACAAAGAACCACAGCAGGCAGTGCTCAGACCTTTACAAAGTCTGAAACTTGGATGGTGACAAAACAAGAAAGCCACATTTTGTTTTTATTTTGTTGTTTTGTTGTTTTAAACAACTGTTTAGCTCATGCTGGTCTTGAATTTGAGATTCTCACAATTTAGCTTCTGAAGCCCTGGAATCACAGATGTCAGCCGCCACACCTAGCTCTGGTCCTTTCTTTAGCCAAAACAAATTTGCTTGCCCCTTCCAAGAACAAACAAACCTTGGCAAATCTTATCTAAGAAAATGAAACACAGACACACATAGATTTGCAATCTACCTTTCTCATTCCAATTGTTTAGTGAATATGAATGCACACAAGAGCACACACATGCTTGAACTCCAGGCCTTAGCACTCACTGTTCCTGAGCTTTTTTGTTCAAGGCTAGCACTTTACTACTTGAACCACGGCTCCATTTCCACCTTTTTTGTGGTTAATTGGGGTAAGAATCTCATGGACTTTCCTGCCCAGGAGAACATCTTTGCCTAAACTAGCTTCAAACCAAGATTCTCATATCTTAGCCACCTGAGTAGCTAGGATTACAGGTATAAGCCACCAGTGCCTGGCTCCCTCATTCCTTTTTTTTTTTTTGGTGCAGTTGTGGGGCCTGAACTCTGGGCCTGGGCGCTGTCCCTCAGCTCTTCAGCTCAGGCTAGCATTCTACCACTTGAGCCACATCGCCACTTCCCGCTTTTTTTTCTGCTTATGTGGTGCTGAGGAATTGAACCTAGGGCCTCATGCATACAAAGCAAGCGCTCTACCACTGAGCCATCTTCCCAGCCCCTTCTTTTTTTTTTTTTTTTTTTTGCTAGTCCTGGGGCTTGAGCTCTGGGCTTGGACGCTGTCCCTGAGCTTTTGTGTTTAAGGATACTGCTCTAGCACTTGAGCCACAGCTTGATTTCCAGTTTCTATAGTTGGAGATAAGAGCCTTTCCTGCCAGGCTAGGAACCTAGATCCCTAGATCTAAGTCTCAGACTTGAGCCACTGGAACCCACCCTCATTCCTTTTTTTAGGGGGGTGTCAGCTGTGGGGCTTAAACTCAATGCCTGGACACTGTCCATGAGCCTCTTTGTGCTCAAGGCTAGCGGGTTTTTGAGTGGTTAATTAGAGATAAGAGTCTCACGGAGACTTTTCTGCCTGTGCTGTCTTCAAACCCACAATCCTCAGATTTCAGCCTCTTAGTAGCTAGGATTATAGGCGTAAGCCACCTGTGCCCAGCTTCATGCCTTTTTTGTGAATATTATTCTACTGTATCGATATACCACATTGTGTGCTTATCTGTTTATTAATTGATAGACATTCCACTAATAATTTTATCTTAGTTGGAGATTTTTGCTTGCTTCCTCTTAGCCATATCCTTTAATCCTAGCCTTTTTCCATAAAATAATATGTATTGGGGACATAGGATATGCAAAGTATATGGAATTGACTTACTCAGATTTTAGAGAATAAGTGATACTATCTTTCTTTGGTTGGTGAGAGCCATTTAAATATCCAGGTAGTCAGGCTCTCTGGAGAATTCATCTTATTGCCAGTAGGCTAGGGGCACTGAGTTTTAGCAAATTCTGCTACCAGATGATTCAAACCAGCAAAAGTTTTTGTCTGTCATGATTTTTAACAGTCTCCCTAAACTTATCACTTAAAGAAACATTAAAAACTTACTAGGGACACACTAGACAATTAGAATTTTTCCATATTGTCTTAGAGCAAAGAGAGTTTTACGAAACTTTAGTTTTTTTTTTGTTTTTTTTTTTGCATGGTCGGTCATGGGGCTTGAACTCTGGGTTTGGGTGCTGTCCCTGAACTCTTCAGCTAAAGGTGAGCACTCTACCACTTGAGCCACAGGGCCACTTCCGGTTTCTAGTAGTTTATTGGAGATAAGACATGGACTTTCCTGCCTGACCCGGCTTTGAACCTCGATCCTCAGATCTCAGCCTCTTGAGTAGCTAGGATTATATGCACCAAACTTAAGAAATTTTTTTTTTTTTTGGGTCCGGTCGTGGGGCCTGAACTCTGGGCCTGGGCACTGTCCCTCAGCTTTTCAGCTTAAGGCTAGCACTCTACCATTAGAGCCACAGCGCCACTTCCGGCTTTTTTCTTTTTGCTTATGTGGTGCTGAGGAATCGAACCCAGGGCCTCAAGCATGCAAGGCAAGCGCTCTACCACTGAGCCACCTTCCCAGCCCCACTTTAAAGTTTCTTAAGCCGTAGCTTTAAAATTTCTTAAGCCTGGGCTGGGAAGGTGGCTCAGTGGTAGAGCGCTTGCCTTGCATGCTTGAGGCCCTGGGTTCGATTCCTCAGCTACCACATAAGCAAAAAGAAAAAAGCTGAAAGTGGCTCTGTGGCTCAGGTGGTAGAGCGCTAGCCTTGAGCTGAAGAGCTGAGGGACAGCGCCCGGGCCCAGAGTTCAGGCCCACTACCGGACCCAAAAAAGAAAAAAAGAAACTTTAAAGCTACGTACATTGGCACATACCTGTAGTCCCACTTACTTTAGGAGATTGAGGCAGAAAGATTGCTTGATACCAGAAACTTGAGCCAGCTTGTGTTGCAAAACAAGACCCCCACCTCAAAAATTCATTAATTATTTTTAAAATTTTTTAAAGAATAGAACAAAAAATTTTAGGCAGGCACTTGAGCCATGCCACCGCCTTCCCTACCCTACCCCCAAAAATGTTTTAAATAGGTTAATAAGTTAATCAGATTTCGAATTTAAAAGAACTTTTGGAACATGAATTGAAGGGGCTTACAGTAGATAAAACAGA